CCTCCGGACTGGGCTGTAGCAGGACTGCCCCCGTTGCTATGTCCGACACATCTACTTGGATGATGAATTGCCGATCCGGGTCGGGGTGGCGCAGGATCGGCTCCGCCGTGAACCGCCGCTTTAAGTCCTCAAACACCCCCTGGCATTCCGCGGTCCATGTGACCGCCATGCTGGGTTTGGGAGACTTCCTGCTGCCCTTGGTTTTTAGCAAGTCTGTTAGGGGGAGAGCGACTTGGGCAAAGTTCGGGATGAATTGTCTGTAGAAGTTCGCAAATCCCAAGAAGCTTTGGAGTTGCCTCTGGGTCCGCGGCGCTTCCCAGCCCAGGACATCCTTCACTTTCGCCAGGTCCATCTCAATCCCCCGGCTGGATATATGGTAGCCAACGTAGTCCAGCCGCTCCCGGTGAAACTCGCATTTTGAGAGTTTCACGTATAGCTGCGCCTTCAACAGTCTCTGGAGCACTGTGCGCACCAGTTTCACGTGCTGAGTCAGGGTCTCGGTGTAGATTAGGATGTCGTCCAGGTAGACCAGGATGCCCCGGTAGAGTAGGTCGTGCGGCACCTCATTTATTAGCTGCATAAACACCCCGGGGCCCCTTTTAATCTGAACGGCATCACGGAAAATTGGTAGCTTCTGAGCGGGGTACTTCCATTCATCTCCTGCATGGATCCTAACCCTGAAATATGCTTCGCACAAGTCCAGTTTTGTGAACACCCTCCCCTTGGATAGGTGCGATAGCAGGTCCTTCATCAAGGGGAGGGGGTAGTTGTACTCGTTGTTGACTGCATTCACACCCCGGTAGTCCACGCACATCCGGAGCGAGCCGTCCTTCTTCTCCCAGAATAGTACCGGGGCCGCTAGCGGTGACTTCGCGGGTTGGATGAATCCCCACGCAAGGTTTTTGTCTATAAACTCCCGAAGAGCGCCCATCTCCTTCATTGATAGGGAGTACATTTTCGGCTTGGGCAGTTTTGCCCCTGGCTCTAGTTCAATGGCGCAGTCACTGGGTCGGTGTGGTGGGAGCTGGTCGGATTTCTCTTCCCTGAATGCCGCCGCCAGGCTCCGGTATTGCCTCGGGATGCCGCTGGTCCTCGTGGTTCCTCCTGGTCCTGACCCATGCTCCACCACAGTCCCACTGGCCACCATCACCTGCATACGCCTCAGTATCGCCGCGGGCCCTCGGGCTTCCGGAGCCGCCATTACTGCTGCCGCCGCCCGGGTTCCAACCTCGGTCTGCTCCTGCCTCGCCTCCCCGTGCCTCGGATCCTCCGCCTGCCCGTCTGCAGCCGCGCCTCCGATCATTGCCGCTTGCCGGCTCTGCCTGCCCTCACGTTTCATCAGCTCCTCGTCCCCGAACCGCACGGCCTCCGCCGTCCAGTCGACATGCGGGTTCCGCCGCCACAGCCACGGCAAGCCGAGCACCACTGCATAGTCAGCGATCAGGACCACCACGAACCTCAGTTCTTCTCGGTGACTCCCGATCGTCATTTGGACCAGCTCGGTGTAGTACTAAGCCGGCCCCCCCCGCTAGCGAGCCATCTAGCTGGCTGAATGTGATGGGCTCTCGGAGGCATCCCAGCTGCAGGCCGAGCCCCGAGACCACAGCTGGGTCATCAGGCAGTGTGTGCAGCCTGAATCCAGCAGCGCCCGCAGCTGTGCCTCCCCCCCGGACCTCACCCCCCGGATGCATATCCTCACCCGAAAGGGGGGGCAGTCCTCATCACCAATTGGGTCCACGCGTCTTGGCTCCCCGGCTCGCACTGGGATGCTGTTCAGTGCGAGTGTGCCCCATTTCCCACCAGCTCCGATTCCTCCCCAGAAAACACTGCCTCAGGGGTCGACCTCTCCAGTTGGCCTCATTCAGTCACCGCTGCCACTGCACTCTTCCGCGGTCGGTCGCCCGCCCGCTTCCCGGAGGGACGTGGTGGCTTGACTTCGGGATGGGGTGGGGCTCCTTCCCACTCCGTTGGGCATTGCGCCGCCCGGTGGCCTTGGCCTCCGCACCTGAAGCACAGGTTCAGGGCTTTAGTTGCCTCTCACCCTCCTGCGGGCTGTCGCCGGCTGCTCCGCCTCTCCTCTGGGGGTCTCTCCCTTGGCCAGTCTCTTGCCTGGTCCTGTCTCCTCGCACTCTGTTGGATCTGCCGCCACGTGGCAAGCTTTCTTCAAAGCGCCATGCCGGCCGAACCTGACATATGGTGGCAAAAACCCAGAAGTCTGGTAGCACCTTTTGCAACTAAGAAATTTTATTAAAAGGCAGAAGCTTTTGTGAGTTCCAGCTCACTTCATCAGGTGCATAAGGTGGCTAGATTTATGTAGGATTTAAGTGGGGGCAAAGGGAGAGAAAGACAGGTTGGTTATGCATATGAATGTTACATGTGAGACAGACCATAAGTCTGACCATAACAATTGTAATATGTTCAAAGCCCATTATGTTTATTGAAATCTTCTGAGGTTACCTGAAACCTTTTGATGTCTGTGAGTTCAGCAATTTCTTGCTCAATGGTGCTGTTAAAGTCCCATTTTTCTAAGCAGTCACATCATTTTAGCCACCATAGATATTGAGGCATTGTATACCAACAACCCCCACAAACATGGATTTCAAGCCATCAAGTACATCATCACTGATACCAAAACAGCACATCTTGCCACCAGACTATGTGACTTTGTATTTCACCTTTGACAGTAACATATACCTGGAAATCAATGGCACAAGCATGATCACATGCATGACTCCTCAATATGCCAACATATTCTTGGCTGACATAGAACAGCACTTTTTTAACTCTTACCCCTAAAGCCCCTCCTTTGCTTGAGATTCATTTTCATAATTTGGACCCATGGCAATAAATCTGCCATTAAATTCCCTCATGAACTTCCACCCCACCATCACCCTAAGTCTAGACTTATCTACAGAATAAATCCATTTCCTTGATGATACCATAAAAATACACAGAGGGCCCATAAACACCCAGATGTTCTTCATATCATGTGATATATGCTGTCATCTGCCTGCAGTGCCCCTCTATATAGGACACACTTTGTGCAAAAGAATTAATGGATACAAGTTTGACAGGAGAACTCAAAACAAGGACAAAGTAATATTAGAATATTTTAACCTCTCAGGACACTCTATGGCAGACTTCAAAGTGACTGTTTTGGAACAATAGATCTTTCACAGCACCATTGAGCAAAGAAATTGCTGAACTCACATTCATGAGAGTTCAGCAATCTCAGAGAGTCTCAACAAACATAGTGGGTTTTTAATATACTACAATTCTTAATTGAAGGTACTTGTAATCTGGCCCACATGTTTTTTGTCCTATTTTTTAGCAAGCTTACAAAAGATAAAGTACAAAAATACAAAAGATAAACAAGTAAAGAAACAATGAAATATTAAAGGCAACCTCCAAGCAACCATAACTCTTCAAAGATCGTCAGATTCTTTAACTTTTAGGGATTTCCCTATGAATCTACTCAGGTACATCAAACTGTTATTTGATAGCAATAGTTCACAAGACCAGATCATATGGATCACTGAACCCTCACATTTTTACCTCTCCAATAAAGAAAATCTGATGTTCCTTCTTTCAAATACATTCTTGGAGGAGCCCAATAGACACAAAATAGGATTTTTTGATGCATCAGAGAAACCTTCAGGAAGAAATCAGAGAATGTGTTGTAACTAACTGGCAGCAGTAATCACTATAACAGCAAATGGGAAAGAGGGCAGGCAGATGGGATGGGGGAAAAGAACCTGATAGCTGCAGAAAATTTAACTGGTTCATCCCAGTGAACTCCGCTAATGAAGATAATTGAGACAGGTGTTTAACCTCTCCACCAGTGGTCACAGGTCAGCCAGGTTTTCTGAGAGAAAATGACATTATACATATGCAGATGCAGATCCACATTAATGTGTTTGTACATTTAAAGGTAAACTTGCTTCTAGCTCACCCAAGTACTTTGGAGCTAAAATGGTCCAAACCCAGCAATAAATTGAAAAATGCCAGCAGTCTCAAGAAGGAAAGCAGAGAAGAACATAGCTTCCAATCCCAGATTCACTTCACTTCATCTCTCCTTTTTATTTTCAATAATGCTGTTTTGGAATCAATGTAGAAAGAATGTATCAGAAGCTTTTTTGAGTCTTTGGTACAAGTGGGGAAGAAACAAATGCTGCTTTCCTTGAAGACTTCCTAACCTCAGCACAAACTTTCTGAAATTTCATAGTAAATTGAACAGGAGTTAACAACCGATATACAATGTTAGTTGGCCAGAACTGATCAACTGGTCAAATCTCACTAGGACAGTGCAATATATTCTGCCCTCCAAGCATACTTTAGAGATTTGCTTCCCAAACCAGAGAGCAAGTAATTCTTTAAAACTGGGAAAAAAAATGAAAATCAGTTCAGGATATATTATGAAGAACGGAATCTGCTTTACAAAGGGGAAGTGAAGAGAAAAGGGCTAGAGCTTCAATCATGTGGTCACAGCCATCCTCTACACACACACACACACACACACACACACCACCAATGTCCCTGTATGGGGATGAGATGAAGGGAGATTCCCATGTAAACTGCTTTGAACTCCTGGAAAAAAGGCAGGATATATATTTAACAAATAAGTAAAATGTAAGACTCTCTACTTGCCAGGCCCAAGCCTTGGATGTGTTTGTATAGGCAGAAACACTAAATTAATATTGTACGCTGATAAGTAAGATTCAGTGGTATTTAGGTTCTTTTTAAAAAATAAATTATGGTATGTATCAGCCCAGAGTTGTTAATAAACAAGAAGTCATATTTAAAGCAAGGTCTTAAAGTCAGAATTACTGCAGGAAATATCATTTTACAAAGTTTCATTTCAGCTATGAATTTTTAAGCCACCAAATGAATGGTTCATTCATCTTAATTGTATAAATTTAAAAATATTACCATAATTCTAATCCAGTTGTAAATAGAAACAAATAATAACCAGTACTGGTTTATTTGTTTTTAAATGACAGCCTACTGAAGCCTCAAAGTGTGGTTCCCATCCAATAACTGGAGAAATTCAGGTAATGAACTCATATTAAGTTATGGCATTCATTTTTGTCAAAAAATATGAAATTAATTTTTATTGTTTGTATATTGGGATAAGAACAATCAAATGGCTGCTTTGAGAACAGGTTGGATTTTTGATACGTTAATTGGTTATCCAACAAAGCATGCTTTTTGTGTCGCCTTTTTTATGCCGTGATGCAAACTAAATGTACGTACAAGCCATGGAAATTGCCTGTTGTTACATTATGCCAATGACATTGCGGAATTCTGCTTCATTGTTGATATTTATTCCCGTACCTGTAATAGGAACAAATCTGTTGTTTTTCATGATTGGGATCTGAAGAAATAGTTAAGAACACACGGGTTACAGATGACCCATAGTTAAGAACAGAGCCTATTGTAGCAAAATTCGAGTTAAATACACCATGATTCAAGTTAAATACACCATGATTCAAGTTAAATACACCATACTACTTATGCAGTATTATACAATAATACTGTTCCAGCTTATATACAAATTCGACTTAAGCAGAACTCATTTTTAAACTGGGAACTCCCTGTAAACAACTAGTTCTGCTTCGTTCCTTCCCCGAGGAATGTTATACCTGCCCCATTGTGTTATACAAGGGTACAATAAAACTCAGTATATATTTGTACAGTTTATAAAACTCAATCAGTTTTCAATAGAGCATATGGATCAAAGAGAGCAAAGTAAAAAATAAAAAATCCTCACTGTACATAACCCAACCCTTAGGTTGTTTACAATTGTAGGGATTAAAAAGTAGCTTTCTGGATTCTAACTATTAGAATGGACCCAGAAATAGATGAATGGGCTATTTGCACAGGAAGACCTTTTCTGACTCCCTCCTCTCACTATAGTCTGAGCCCAAATCTGCTTCCAAGGGGTAAATTACTATCTGGAATGGCAGGGGGCATTGCAGCAAGCTGGAACACCCCACTGGAGGTGACTTTCTAATTATAAAATATTTCATGATCCACTGTCTGTAATTACTGTAACCCCATCCAGTTTACCAGTTCAGTCTAACATGCAAGAAGTAGTGAGGAGGGCCTCCCTGCTGGTGACATGAGCAAAGAGGCAGCATCCATGCTTATGCTGTGATTGTCTACAGCAAGGACCCAGTTTTTCATGCAAGACTTCCACATGAGCTGAAACCCCCAACTAGAAATATATACTATAGGTGAAGTCTCCCCAGTGGTCAGTAATATAAACAGAAGAGCTCCTTGTGGCTGTAACAGGTTGTGGTGGCTGCACAACTAGAAGTTGCCCACCACTCTGTATTGGTTAAACATTTGGATGGAAGACCACCAGGAAATCCCAGGCTGGGTAGTAAAACAAAATCCTTGAAATCACTTGCATAGGCACCTCCATGTTGAGACGAGCCCAATTTGAAAGAGACTTCACCTTTTGTGCCACAGCAGGTGGCAGCAATTAGTCAACCCACAGAATTAAGTAAAATATAGTATTACTACTTGGTTGAGAGACCACAAAAAAAATAACAAGGGTGTAGGCCAAACTTGGAAACCAAAATAATCCCCAAAGGTGGCAATAAGCATGTCTACACAAGGAGTCCATTTTTGCAAATATGCATATATACTTCCATTTTTCTTTCTTTTTAGAGAAATGCTGACTCATTCAATGCTAACTTGAAATGAGCTTCTTCTACTTTAAGGGAAGCTGAGAATTTGCATCAGTTATATTAAGTATCGGTATAGTGAAAAAAGTAGTAAACACATAATTTGAAAATGGCTTTATTTTCAGAAAAATTCAGAAATAATTAACATGAATTAATGTTCTCCGTAGCTTCAAATCAACTATGACAAGCACCTTGGTAATTTGATTATTCACGTCCTTCAAGCAAGAAACCTTGCCTCCCGTGACAACAATGGTTATTCTGACCCTTTTGTCAAAGTTTACCTTCTACCAGGAAGAGGGTGAGTGGAGGGAAAATTTTCACCAATGCAACAGTTCTGTTTTTCAATTCTTAGGGAATCCTTTCAACATCAAGTAATCAGCATACCTCGTTTCAGGAGAGGCCCATTGAACCATTTTTCCAGGGAGTTTGGCTGTCAGTTTTATTTATCTTAGATCACAGCTGCAGTAGCAAAACACCTTTAATAATTAAGGTGTGGAATTTGGAGGATAATGAAGAGAACAGGCAAGGAATTCTCTCTCCCATATATTTTCTGTAACATATGTTACATCCAAACTGATGACGTGTGCTGTTACTAGACACTAGATAATGAAGCTTCAAATTAGGTTCTTTCCTGTCCTTCCTGTGAGGGAGAAAAAATCAAATATTCAAATCTAATCTGCTCATTATATTAAAGAAACTGCAGGTTCCTCTTCTTTCTGACAATGGGACATTGGAATTTGTTTTAACCATAGATCAGTTAAACCAGGATCAAACTGCAGTTCAGTATTCTGATCAGCCATCAGTTTCTCATGCTTGGATATGACAGGAAGCTGCAGTTTGTTCAAAACCATTAACAGAAGCTTTAAAGAAGAGGCGAGTTCATGAGTCATAATTCTGCACCTTGATATTACAGTATTTATCTGTGATTGAGACCTAATAAACCTAAATTGCTAATATTGTTTTTTTTGGGGGGGGGTCCATGAGTGGAAGTTCCATGATGATCTGCCCAGTCTGTGTAATATTTCCTCTTCTCTCAATTCTGATTTGAACATCTGTTGATGTATGGTTTGCATCATGTTATATATCTCTTTGTATTCCTAATCTTATGCTTCTTGTATCCCTTTCTATTACTTTTCGATGCATTGTTTCTTCACTGGGTTTGCAGCCAAGTCATGGTGGTCCAGAATGCAAGGTAGAGTGTTTTATTCTTTAATTGATGTTCTAACCCATCTGTGCATGAAAACGTATGTACTGATTTGCCTAGAATTCCAGTGATCTGCAAAGTAGGAAAGAAAAGTGCATTTCCGACAAGAATGGCTTGCTCTGGTCATTGATGGCCAAGTGAAAAATTTATAATAGGCAACAGATTGCTGCAGCAGCTTCTTAAGGCACCATTACTGGATTAATTGTGAAAAATCACAACTATTTTGATATATGCAGAAATAATGCACTGTCAATTAGTAATTATTTTATTGATATTTATACAGGAAAGAATGGATAGAACCATTCAAAGAAATGTCTTTAATGTTACTCTAAACTCTGTTGGCTTCTTTTCATTTCATGAGGTTTTACCTGAAGTGGGAATACAAGTTTGCTATACATTCAGTAAAGGCAACAAGGTTCCAGAGATGCATAAAATTTCTATTAGTAATATGTCTCTGTTGGACTTCAAATTTGCTTTTCAGAATACTTCAAAAGCCTAGTTCTGCTTCTCTGACATGAACTGTACATTGAACTTCTTAACTGCAATCTGATAATATGCTTGCTAGCAAATGTACATAAAGGAAAAAACATTTTTATGCTTAAATTGTAGTTTTCCATTTTGTGCCAGCTTCTTTGGGGTTTATGGTATAAATCATAAAGGATGATATTGTTCCTTTGAGTTACCATTCTAATATATCTTGAATTTAATTGCACTTATTTTTTTAATTGTTAGGTATTTGGACAAGCTTTGTAAATCATTTGATAAGCAAAGCCCCCCTCTTAATCCATCACCCTTAGAGACTAACAAAGCTGTTTGGGGAGCTCTGAAAGTGCTCCAAGCATTTTATGCATGACCAGAAGACCTTAAGAAGGCTATGAAGCAACTGCACCAAGTTTGGGAATGGCTACAGCTGTTTCATAGCTTCAAGAAATAGATCCAGAGGAGAATTCAATTCACATGAAAAGTATCTTGCTGAATACTTGCAAAAGTCCCTCATACAACATACACTATATTTGAACTGACACTGATTACACAGTACATTCAGGCTTTAAGTATTTGCTGACCATATATATCTGATAAATCACTTCTGCACTTCTCTAACTGCAAAAATGAATCTGCCTAAAGAGACTGATATTTCTACAGCAGAGCTATCTTATTAGAAATCACTGCATCATTTGCCAAATGAGAAGGAGTGAGTTAGCTTTAAGATTATATAATACTTTCAGTTCAGAGGGATAGTCATGAAAGCAATAGTGCCTGCAGAAGATATCCTAAGTTATCCTAAAATATAAGTGAAATAAAAGTAGGGGTACAGGGATCCATTAGCATGCACAGGACTGCATCTTTTGGGATCCTAAAATGTCATCAACTCTTTAATGTTCTTTAATTTAAGTTCCTTTATATTAAATAATTATATTAAATAATCATTGATCCAGTTAAGAGTTGAGATATAGTAGGTGATCTACTATGTACATCTCAGTAGTAAAGGGACATGTATCATTTTCAGCCTTGGGAAAGCATATGACAATTTAATCAATATTAAATTAGTATTTTTGTCATTAATACAATACTGATTTGAGTCTTCCTTTATGATTTTCACAGAGATTACTCTCCAGTAATCAAAGGCTAGAAAGTGATATGATTTATTTTATGTCCATCAGTATTTTTTTCAAGAAAACCAATGTTTCATTACTATTATTGTGTAGAATCAATTTGTAAATGCAGCATGTTCATTGTGTTGTTTTCAGTTGGACAAAAGAGTTTGAAAAGCCTCTAACTAGGCATGCTGGGGATTCAAAACTTTAATTTTTGAAGATTGAATTTGGAAAATGTTCAGTGGAAGATTATTATTTACACTGAAGCAGATCTAATGTCATTTGACTATACAAGCCTAAAAGTTTAATCATCAGATGTGTTAAAATTGTTTATGAATTGGAACAAGAGGACACACATCAAAGTAATGTTATGTTATGTTCCTTTGTTTCACTTCAGTGTTGAGAACAAGAGAAAGACAAAATATATACAGAAAAGCTTGAATCCTGAATGGAACCAGACTGTTATTTATAAAAGCATCTTCATGGAGCAGGTGTGTGACTAAAAGGATATTTTGTTCTGGGTGTGGCCAAATGCTGCTCCTGAGTTAAGAGTATATCAAGAATGAAACTGTTTAGTAATAATATCTCATACTTCTTAGCATATCTTTATTTATTCCTCTTGGAGCATTATGCTCATACAATCAGCTGGGAAACTGAGAGGAAAAAGGCACCTTTTTTACTCAGAATGAAGGTGATCTTGAACTGAAGGCAGTCACCTGTCCATTGATAAAACAAATGATAAACAGAGATTTTAATTCCAGTGCAATGTCTGCCTTCCCCATCTTGTCAACCAAAAATTGCCAACTCTGTCTGAAACTAGTTTTGGAGATTTCCCAGTAAATGTGAACTGTAGCACACTTGTTTGTACTTGCATATCAATCTGCCACATTTCAAAATGAGAGGAGCCAGAACAAAAAAAAATTAGAACTAATTGAATTAATAATTACTGATTATAATTATCTATCAAATAAAGGACACCATGTATAAAATTAATTAATCGACCATCTTCATATGCTTTGTATGGAATCACTCTCACACCCAAAAATCACTTTCATACATAGAAATATGCTACACAAATTCTCCTTTCAACAGAAATAGCCAAAAAAAGACAAATTGATATAGATGTCACAAGTGGATTGGGTAGCTGAACTGGGAGGAAAGGAAAATTTAAAAAAGGAAAAGGATAAGTGGTAACAACACTAGGTGGAAATAAGGCATGGAGAAGAAATCATTGAACACAGAAGAGACAGAGAAGCTCTAGTTAGGCTTCTAAGGATGGCATTCTTCAGGCAAGCACTGTGTGAGATGGGCAGCTCTACAAATGTGATTAAATAAATAAATAAAGCAGCCCTTTCACAGCAAAATCGCATCTTGAAATGTATCCTCACTTTTCAGCAGTGAAATCAGTAGCCATTTCTGTTGGATAGCAAGTATCTTTGTATAGCATGGGCAGAGTAACACTAAAGTTAGGAGTAAAATTTTATAAGAAAGTATTCTTTAGGCTGGTGTTTCCACAAAAGAAGACAAACCATGTTATTAGCAAATATAAGATTGTCTTCCCATTCATAAATAATAATGGGGACCTGATCTTCCTATGGTAAATAGAACCACATAAAATATCTTTTTAAGGGGCTGCAAACTTGCTTAGAATACAGCCTGTCATTCCCCTTGCCACAAGAACTGCAAATGGATAATACCAACTTCCCCATGTTCATTTTGCTATCTAATAATCTTTCATAGTGTTTTTAGATTGAGAAAGATATCTCAAAGTTATTAAAAAATCATGAATACCTAGGAGGAGGGGATTTCAAAGAGTGGATTGTCACCCCAGAAAAGTGATGGTGGAAGCAGCAAAGGCACAGATCATCTTAGAGAGCAACGCAGGGCTATAATTATTCACCAGATCATCTAGTTCTTGGTGACTATATATGCCAACAGCAAAAGCATAAATTTGTCTCATAGCAAATAGTATATTTGCTTCAATACTAGTTTCATTCATTCACTTATTTATTCTTTTGGATGTAGGTCCTACCCAAGTCCCCAGACAACTCTGGGCAACTCACAAAATCAAACAGAAAACAGAGAAGAAACGCAATAGCATATAGCATCCACCTGCTCAATATAAACACGTACAAAACAAAAGAAAAATAATTTGTGCATGACCAAGTGTATCACATGGTAATTTGGCTTATTTAAAAGACATTGCAGTCAGTCTAGACATGAGGTTATCAGTACATGAATGATTGCATTCAAGCTCTCCCTGTTCAAGAAAAAATTAGTTGACTGCAGAGATTGCAAGAATTGGGGCATGTTATAGTCTATGGTAACAAAACCTCAGGAGTTTGGTAGCACCTTTTTGACCAACAAAGGCTTTCACAGACCACATGCCACTTCAACAGAGTTAGTGGCTAAACTGATCTAGTATTTAAATTGAGATTAGTGGGGAACTCACTTGACAAGGATGCTCAGCTGATAAACTTAGCATTAAGTTTAACTACTCACCCAATGAGATCAACAGACAAATCAGTACAGCCAGATGGATTTCTATGCAGAATCTATTAAAAGCAGGTCACAAATCAGAACAGAACTGGTTGTCACCTATGGCTCACAGCTCAAGCAGCTCAAACACATTTTCAATAACCTACAACCAACACCAGACAATGACAGTGCACTTCTTCAGGTATTGGATTGCAAGCCCATACTTGCACACAGAGAGCCACTCAACTTGAAACAGATTCTCACAAGTACCATCACAGGTCCCAAGAAGTAAACACACAAACAGGCCAGAGTTTGCGCAAAAGAATTAATGGACACAAGTTTGGCAATAGGACTCAAACAAGAATGAACTATTAGCAGAGCATTACAAATCTGTAATGGAGTGCACAGAATACTCCATTACAGATTTCAGAGTAGCCATTCTGCAACAAAGGAACTTCACCAACACAATTGAGAAGGAAATTTCTGAATTCACATACATACATCAGAAGATTTCAGGCAATCTCAGAAGGTCTCAACAAACACATTATAATTCTTAATTGATAAGGTACATATAGTCTGATTCACATATAACCAACCAGTCTTCTCCCCCCCCCCCCCCGCTCTTTAAATCCTAATTAGTATACCTGGTGAAGGGTTTCAGACTTGGGCAACAGACCAAAACAGCACTGATTTGTGGATGCGTTTGTGGATGACCTCTGGTGGGAGTGAGATGGGGGTAGTGCATGCATCCTGGATCTGCTTGATCTTTCAGCAGCCTTTGATATCATTAATCATGGTATCCTTCTGGACCAGGTCTGGGGATTGGGAGTGGAAGGTTCAGTTTTATGCTGGTTCTCCTTCTTTCTTTGGGACAGATTCCAGTCAGTGTTGATGGGAGAGAGATAGCTCATGGATCCTTCTCTGTGAGGTCCCTCAGGGCTGAATGCTTTCCCCAGTCCTACATGAAGTCTCTGAGTGAGGTCATCCAACAGCCCCTTTACATCTCTGCCCCGGGCCAACCAAGTAATGATATGGAGGTTCTACCTCAGTGTCTGGAGGCTGATTCAGCTCAACCCTGGCAGGACTGAGTAGCTATGGGTATTAGGGCTCCCTGGGTCCAGGGTTACTCCATTTCTGGTTCTGAATGGGGTTCACTACCCCAAACAGAACTAGTGCACAGTTTGGGGGGTCTTCCTGGACTCACGGTTCTTTTCCAAAGAGCAGATGGCAGCCATGGTCAAGAGAGCTTTTGTATAACTTCATTTTGTGCACCAGTTGCACCCCTTCCTGGACCACAAGGAACTGCTCAAGGTCACTCCTGCCTTAGTCACCTACCAAATGGATTACTTCAGTGTGTTCTAAATGGGGCTGCCCCTTTTTTTAATTAGCTAAATACGAAAGGCAAAGAAAAAAAATACACAAAATTATTTTAAAAAAATTAAAAACTTTTAAAAAAGAAACAAAAAGGAACAAAATATACAGGAGATATATTTGCAGGTATACATACATCAATAAATTAAAACCATGATTCATTGCAGTCATCTATAGCTAATAGATATTAATCAATTCTGCAGACCACTGATAGTTGGAGGATTTGTCTTTCCAATGCTGAATAGTAAGTTGGGGTAAGGTACAGAAAATCTTTGTTCAAATCAATTCCTATGTGATAAACTTCAAAAGAATATAAACATCTGAAAAATTAAATCTCAAAGTTGAATTAATACATGTAATCACTTCTTTGCCAAATGGAATAATATATTTAAATAAAACATTAATTTCACTGATCTCCAACAACATAAATGCAATGAGGTCATTTCTAAAATATTATTTATTGCTGGAAAAGGTGTAATCTAAAAATCTATTGAATTTTTGAGTTTTTTAAACATCTCTTTTTTATTGGTTAAGCAAAACATGCAAACAAAAAAAAAAGAAAGGAAAAAATACATATACATACATGAAGGATTTTGGAAAAGAGTAAGAAGCAAAAAAGCAAAATTAAAAAAAAAAATTTTTTAAGGGCATTCTGATAGCCCCTCTCTCTTTCTTTCTCTCCTCCCCCTTTCTTTCCCAGCCACTATTTGTTACTTAAATACTGTTATACTTTACTTTGGACATTGATAGTCATTTATGTTTGGATCATTTTGATTTTTTTTAACAGTTTGTTTTTTTCTTCAAAAACCATATTCTATTTGTCTTAGCTTGCCTTGCCTTGCTGTGTGATATGTTGGATATAAAGGAAGTCTTTGAATTTTAGACTTCTGCTGTGAATATATACAGTCAGTTTTTCCACTGATACATATTCTTCAATTTTAGTCTCCAAATCCTGTACTGATGGCAAGGTTTCTCTTTTCCAATGTTCTGCCAGATTGATTCTTGCCTCTGTCAGCATATATCTTAATAAATTATTATGCCTTTTATCTATATAATCTGGGATCATACATAATAAAAATATTTGTAGTTTTAATTCAAAATTTATTTTCAGAATTCTATGAATGTTTTGGTGTATTTCTTTCCAGTACTTTTGAAGGAAAGTAGGAAGTCAAGGAGTAATCGGAATAACAGGCAAGTTTGGCCCTGGAGTACAAAATG